TGTGAGAGGAGCAAACCTCAGTCACTGAGCCAGATCCCACAACAGGGACTGAATGGGAGGTAGAGAACCTGAGCATCTCAGACACTCACCTGGGGTAGTGACGCTCAATGGGAATCACAGCTGGACTGGTTCTCAGGATCACTGGGTTGCTGGCAGGGGTGGGATTATAGTTCAGGTTTGTGCTGTAAATCAGGGAGTCTGGGGTCATCTGAGAAGAACCAGACATGGAAGGGTTAACAGCACACAATTGACATACAAAACTACAGTACTAGGTTCAGCAAGACCTAGACAGATATTTCCTATTAACAGAAAGTCTTTCAGCACATGCACAACTTATGGACCAACCATCGCTGGAAGGTAATAGAAGCATACTCCCCCAGAATGACTGCCTGGGGACTACTGATGGGCACTGTAGGGCCTAGTTCTGCACAGCTGTGGTCACCACAGCTACTGCTTCTAGCACTGTCCAACCATTATGTAGGATAAGCTGTTTTCCCTTACAGAACAGAAGCATTCTGGAAGACAGTGGACATCTAGCACCCTTTGGCCACTCCAGTTCTGCTGTCCGTCATCTCTCTCTGGGAGCAGTGCAGCTGTTGTGGCTTCTTGAAATAGTGACTCCCAGTGGAGGAGGAGATTGCAGGGGCATGGCTCAGCTCACTGTTCTCTCAAGAGAAGATGTCACTCAAAGGGGGAAGCTCTGACAGCAGCTGCCTCTTTAGCACTGCAAGCAGGGGAAGCCAATAACTCTAGCTATGGACCCAGGCCATTAGGCATCCTAGATGTTAATATCAGACTGGCCTAGACCTGCCCATCACCCACACACAGCACCATGCATCACAGAAAGTTAGCTGGGGCCTGCACAATGGGAGGGATCAAAATACTCATCTGACCCACTGGAGCACCAGGCTTGTATGAAGCTGCCTTACCTGCAAGGTGCTGCCACATTCATGGAGCCCAGCCGTAAAAGTCACTGTGTTCTCCGCAGCATTAAGGGACGTGTACTGGCAGGCGGCTGGGCCAAGACTCAGGTCAGCAGCTTTGATCAGTCGCCCCGTCCCAAACAGATCCCTGTGCACAGTGATCACCAGCTGAGCCTCCTCACACTGCACTGTGACAGGCTGCAGTGGGGACATAGCCCTGAACTGGGAAGCATCAACTTGAGCCCAGGGGTAGGGCTGGGCAAGAGAGGGCACATGGGCTCGTCTATGAGGGGGCTCAGCCCTGGGGGTGGGTCTCCAGATGGCTGAGTCTCTCCTAGAGAAATCCCAGGGATTGTAACCAGTCACCCCACTGACCACCCAGCACAGGAGAGCAAAGCTCAGGCTACCACTATATCCCATCCTGCCTGCCTGCAGCAAACCCAGCATAGAGAGAAACTACTGCTCCGGGCCCTTTATACCCTGACCTAAAGCCAGCTCACAGCTGCCCCAGGTAATTAATTCCCCAGTCTCACCCGAAGCCCACACCCTGGGGCAGGGAAATAATGAATGGGAATTAATGCCACCTGGGAGTTGTTATCATTTATGTTTAGGAAACTCCCTACGTGGTTTCAGCCAATTAATGGCTAACAGACTTTGATGTTGATGGGAACTATCAGCCATGTAGCGTGTGATACTGATGATGGATTCCAGAGGGAATTTTTGTATGTTACGAATCTTGTGCTATGAGTGGGAAGCATTAAGTCCAACTGATTTGCTGATGAAATAGTTTAAATCACAGTCTTAAAGATTTATTAGCTTTAGTCTTCGCCTTGTGCTCTTACCGGACAGTGCAACTGAGCAAATATGACTCCATGCTGTTTGGAAAGCTGTCTCAGGGTGAGAAATGCTCCGTACTGCATAGACAACACAAATGGCCCAGGACAAGAATAGCAAGGGAGTGATGCACATCAGATCTGCAGAGCCCTGGTAAAGTGGAAATGGAGCCCCACAACTGAAACAAGAGCAGCTCAGGAATGATGTGTTTTGGCAGATCCCTGAGGAATCCAGGACTGGAATCTCAAGGACGTCTTGCCGTGAACAGCAGTTGTGTGCTGCCTGGGAAGCACAGTCAATCAAAATGCCTCTGAATGCACTGTGTGCTCATGTGAGCATTATTAAATTAGGACTTGCATGGACAGATGGATCAAAGAACATCAAGAAAAAAAACCCAACCCAGACTGTTTAGCAGAGTGCTGTGTTCCTGGAAGCAGCCTTCCTCATAATGCTCCTTGGCCCACACATCCTCAAAGGAATCCTAAATCCCTTTGAGGATCTGGGCCTGAAATTTTCCAGAGTAAGGGCTGGTCCACACTACCCGCCTGATTCGGCGGGTAGAGATCGATCTTCTGGGATCGATTTATCGTGCCTCATCTGGACGCGATAGATCGATCCCAGAAGCGCTCCCCTGTCGACTGTGGAACTCCTGCTCGCCGAGAAGAGGAAGCGCTGTCGACGGGGGAGCCTGCCTGCGCTGCGTGGACCCGAAGTAAGTAAATTTAGTTCGATCTAGGAAACGTCGACTTCAGCTACGCTATTCTTGTAGCTGAAGTTGCGTTTCCTAGATCGATCCCCCGCCCCAGTGTGGACCTGCCCTAAGTGAGCCCAGAGCTCAGTGCCTGCAAGCCAGAGCAGCCCAGACCCAGCACTCCACCCACCTCCCTGCCTGCCAGACAATAGAGCTTCCTTTAACAGCAGGATTTCTCCTTTGTGTGCATCTCTCTCACACCCTCCCGAGCAAATAGGATGTGCCTTGGTGTATGAGACAGATAACGGAACCAAAACAGCCATTGTAGCGGGTCCAGTGTTGCAGCTGGGTGTGGAGAAGTGCCCTACCTATCACCCCTCCCTGTTGGGTGGTGAGATACCCCATGTTCTCCATTGGATGGGAGACAGTTTGACATCACTGTTGGTTGGTCTGACCCTAGCCCCCCATGCCGCATACTTGGTCCATCCTCTCTGGGCTCAGGCATTATCCTGGTGCTCATTTCTTGGGGGCACAGCTGTGCCCCATCCATCTCCTGATGTGTGGAGATCAAACTCAGGGCTCTCATTCAGTAGTAAAGACAAGGGCTCGAATCCTTGAAAGTATCTGGACACCTACCTCCCAGCTAAATGCCTAAATACCTTTGAGGATCTGGGCCCACAGCAGGATCTGGGCCTGCTTCTCCCTGCCTGGCACCTTGTCAGAACAGGAGCATTTTGCACCCACTTGGCACAGGCATAAATGACTACACAAGGGGACAGTCAGGCCCTGATTCTTGGCGCCTGATTCTAATCCTGAGATTCCCTGTGTGCAGCATAAAGAGTTTTTAAAGGGGAAGGCAATGACCCCCTGACAATACCTCCCATGGAGGGGGCATCCCTGGCTGCTACAGAGCTGGGGTAGTGGCTGTACACTAGCCCTGCTCCCGGCCCTGACTACAGGGGGTCATCCTGGCGGCAGGAAAGGGTGAGCCCAAGGTAGGGAGGGGGGTACCCTACTGTGGCTATTTTTCTGCTTGCTGGGGTCCCAGGAAATAGAGCGTAACTTAGCACAGGCTGTTCAAACTTTCACCAGAGCCAGGCCAGCCCCCAAATACGCAGCTGTGGCTGAAAGCCAACTTTGCCTTCCCCTCTGTTTCTGGCCCAAGTGAAGCTGCGAATCAGGTCCTTGGCCTCTTGTGTAGTAATGACAAGCGCCCACTGCCCCTGCAGTAGTGATGTGCTGCCAAAGTACAGACAAGGGGCACCCATGAACCTTTTCTCCATTAGCCTGGACTTCCTCCTGACCCTCTGTGCTGGGGCGGGGGGGGGGGGGGGGGGGTTGCATTGGCACTGAATAAAGGGAGGTATTGGGAATCTATTACGTTGTTTTCCCACTTTGGTAGAACCGTAACCACATTGCAAACAAGCATCCACCCAGTGCCCACTGTTACTGGAAACATTTGCTCCTGAAAACTCTCCTGAGCAGGTTGATTAAACAACATGCTGCTCAGACCTGTGCCATTGGAAACGGAGTGATGGGGGTAAGTGAAGGCCTCAGAGTGGGGAACCAGGGTGCACCGGTCCCAGGAAATGTTCCAAGTATGCCTGAGAGTGACTAGAACCTGGTGCATTCCAACGGCAGAACACTTGCTCTGCAGAAGTATTTTGATGAACCTTGTGGATTACGTTCCTGTCTGGCAAGGGTGATTTAAGAGAATCCAGAGGGGGACGACTTCACCAGAGGCAGGGAACTCCCTGACCTCTCTTCACCTCAGTGGCAGAACTTCAACATGGATCTTCTGCAAGCCGCCTCTAGCATACAGTTGTCCTACAAGCTTAAGGAGTCAGGAGCCAGACCCAGCAGCTGAAGCTATGTCTCCTGTGTGATAATAAGGTGTACTCCCAGCTCCAGCTGGCCAGAGATCATCAAATGCAGGTGTCTTGTGGCATACAGTAGAACACACATTCCCTGCCCCTGCTGAGCCATGGAGCAAGGGACCAGGGCTAGGAATGAAATCCAGGTCCCTCCTGGGACTATGTAAAGCTCAGTTAGTTTAATTAATAGCTTTCAATAAATTATTTGCTTTTCACTAATAACCCTGTTGAGCAGCAAGAGAATGTGGGCTTCAGGAGCTGCTAGAGACGGGGCGTGTGACAGATGTATGAGTAAGTTAAAGCTTCCAGCGCAGCAATCTGTGGCCTGGAGATGGGGGCCACCAATCACCTGGATTTGAGGCAAATCTCTAGTACTACTGCACTGACCCAGGGTTGGTCTGGCTGTGGAGGGTGAACTGCCATTTGTTGGTTGCCAATTGATGCAGAAAGGTTTTTCCAGGGGTCATGTATTATTTTACACACAAAGCGTCCATTTGCATCTCCCCAGGGCTTGGTGGGCTCTTCTAGAATGTTAAAATGCTCCAAATAAACCTCAGTCAAGGGTCAGAAGTGGATTGACTTGGAGGACCCAGAGCCTCTACCCCTCCTCTTCTCTGCCCTCCTTATTTCCCCCAACTCCCCCCCCCCCCCCCCACTTCAGTTCAACAGCTGGTGCCCCATGTCAGGGCCTGATTTTGAAATAGGTTTGGCAGGCAAAAGTGCCCACAGAATCCAGGCCTAATTTGCATCCTTATTGATTCCAATTTCATATGCAAATTGGGTAATTTCCCATGCAGAGGCCCATAACTAGCCCTCTATATCTGCAGCCGACCCCCTTCCCCAGTCACTGTAAATGCAGGCAGGCGACTGCACATACATGTTTCATGCATGTTCACAACTAGCACAGTTCTTCGGTATTGGCAGAAGCTATTTCCAATCAGCACAGAAAACTCTGGGTCGACATCCCTCCCTGACTGTGCTAACAGCTTTTATCCCTCCGGGTGTAATTCTGCTCCCAGTGCAGTCAACGGGAATATTGCCAGTGACTTCATAGGACTAGCAGTTGGTTCTCATAGTCGTTCAGCTACATCTGTGTTTGTTATGGACGGCAGCACCAACAGAAGCTCCTTGCTTTGTGGAGGCCCCTTTGGCCTCCTGGACTCTGCCTTTCGGCTGCTGGGCGGCTGTCACTCACACAGCTCTTGGCACTGGCTTTGAAGAGGGCTCTGATGTATGTTCAGAGAGGTCATTATTCTTTGGACAGGGCTACTACAGGTTAGACTCCAAGGGAAATGCACTGGCGAGGCTGAGAGCAAAATCTGACCCAATGGGCACACTCCAGCCCCTAGTGGACATGCACTGGTGCCAATCAATTTACCTGGGGGAAGAGCCATTCCGAGTTTTATTCACATTCTTGTTATTAATGACTATTAAATAGCACCAGGATATACATGGGGCTCTGTAAGCCTCAGAACAAGAGACAATTTCTGCCTTGAAGCCTCACAGACAGAGGGGGCCAGATCCTCAGCTGGTGTCAATGGGCCGTTGACTTTAATAGAGCTATGTCCATTGACATGAACCCAGGATTTGGTCCATTGTCACGGTCTGTCACCTGGCTTCGCTCTCTCCTCTCTCTTTTCCAATCTGCCCAACAAGTTTTGTCCTGTTGGGGCTCATTCCAGTCTGTGATCCACTGCTCTCGCCTGTTCTGGACGAGTGGGGATGGCCCAGAGCTTGCAGCTCAAACTGCCCTTCAATCCATCCATGAAGTGTTTGTTTGGGTTCTCATGCTGTCATGCCGGAAAATCCACTGCAGAGCTTTACAGGAAGAGACTGGAATGGATGTGCTGATAACAAGAAGCAGTGAACTGAGTCACAAAATCAAACCCCATCTGTAACACCCGTGAGAAAATAAAAACCTTACAGGGCCCAGATCCAGGGGCCACTGTAACCAATTAAAAGACACCCATTGACTTCTATGGGCCTGGGATCCAGCTCTTAGAGAGGGATCTGATACGGGG